AGACGCCTAAGCCGTTCGTCGCTGCTTGCGACAAATTTATTTACACAGAAAACCTTGTGCGCCTAGAGGAGCTTTGACCGCACGCAAAAAACCTACTGAAACCGAGAACCACTCGCTAGCTGTGCAGGCCCAGGAAGATCGCCAGTTAGCAAGTCGGCTACGCGCAACTGTAGAGACAGTTTCTGACCACGATGGATGGGCTGGGCTCAGTAAAGTCGGTCAGCTCCTCACAACACAATATCCCGACTTTGACTCTCGTACCTTCGCATACTCTAAATCGCCGCCTCGTCTTGGTTCAAGACTGCCCGCCGGTGTCCTCGGGACAGCTTACCCAAGGAGATCTGCGTGCGTGATAAGCAGCGGAAGCGCAAGAGTTTTTGCTGAGTAGGTCCGAGCATATATATACTTAAAAGTTGCTCTTGAGTTGAGTCAATGGCGCGTTTGGTGGCTTTTTATTGAACAAACCGTTGTTAAGTATGCTGTATAGGTCGCGAAGGGTGCTGGGATTGTTTTTTCGATCTATGGTTCCTGTAGCTACCCTACTATGAATGGCTGTTATATCACTCCGCTTGCCCTTGTTAAGCCTGTGTGTGACCCTCGAGGAGAACCTGGCATGTCGGATTGTGAGGATGCTTCATCATGTAAAATTCAAAAATCTTCCATTTCAGGGCATCGTTACTCCGCATATAACCTGAAGGCTCGACCAGTGTTCCAGGTCGGGCTGATGTGGGTGTCATCATTTTCCGCAACGTGCTTAGAATAAGCGCCAGGCAGTGATCTAGCCTACTGTGATAATACCATGGTCCTCATGCCAGCCAGATCTACTGTCATCGAGGGTACTCCACTCTAGACAAGTAGTATAGCGGGTCATACTCTGTAAAATGTTTCGTCAAATCTCTCATGGGGTTGGCAGGAAATTACGGAGGTATGGGCCAAGCTTTTGCCCCGCGAATAGTCAATGACTACCCGTGGCACTGACCACCCAACCCCTACCGGGATTGGGTGGTCCAACTTCCAATGCAAAAAAATTTCCAATGCAAAAAATCCCCCCATTTACCACTTTCGCACCCAATTTATCCGCCACCACCATGAGCAATCCGTATACAGAAGAAGAGGATCGAATTAGCAAGGCTTTAGAGGCCTACGAAAGCGGTAAAAATCACAATCTTTCTGCTTTAGCGCGCGAATATGGTGTATCCTACTAGCGCCTTCGCCGCAGGTCTCAAGGGCTACCGTCGAAGATTGGCAACCAGAATCGCCCACGCCTGCTTACTGAGGCCTAGGAGAGTGCAATTGTACGCACTATTGATAACCTTAGCACCCTCAATATCAAGCTGAATGGTAGAGATATCGAGGATCTTGCAAATCTACTGCTTTGGCGGCAGTACGAAAGGGATCATCCTAATGCGACCGTGCCAAAAACCTCAGCAATCCTCCCACGGCTCGCCAACGCTGAAAATAGACCCCCCGGGCTAAAGCTAGTCAATCACTAGTGGGCTTATTCGTTTATTAAGCGGATTGACCCTAATCTTCTACTAATTGCCGATGAGCAGATTAAATCGGAGAGAGCGAAGGTGTCTGCTGCTATGATGCAGCACTGGTTTGACGGCTTAGAACCGGTGATTAAACAGATTAAGCACGGCAATATCTACAATTTCGATGAAACTGGCTTTATACTAGGGCAGTAGCCCTCTCGTACTCGATTAATTAGGCGTAAGAGGGCTCGCGTAGAGGTTGATGAGCGAGAGAGCCTTACCGCGATCGAATATATCTCCGCTGACGGCTTCGTATTACCACCTTTCTTTATCTTTCGAGGTAGCGTACTACTTAAGAGATAGTTCGACGAGTCGCTAGATCCGGATTAGGTCGTATTAGTAGCTAAAACTAGCTACGTGAATTCAGATCTTGCATTTAAATAGCTTTAACATTTCGATAAACACACTATAAATCGCGGTGAAAAGAGTAAGTAATATGCATTCTCTGTACTTTTTAAAGTAATATTATACTAATAAAGGACTATTAATCAGACGAGCTACGCTTATTACTCTTCGATAGATATACTACGCACTTAACTACCGAATTCCTTAAGTACTGCGGGTAAGCTAAAATTCTCCCCTTCTACTTTATTTCGTACGCCACGTATCTCGTCTAGCCTCTAGATAGTGATACGTTCCTCACGTATAAGACTAAATTTAGAAGCTGGAATCGTATGGTATCTCAATAGGGTAGAGATCCGACCGATAAAGCAGTATTCCTGCGAGGGATTCGTGAAATTCGTAATAAGGTATTTACATCAAAAATTATTCGTGGAAGCTTTAGAAAGCGAGGGATTTACCTATTCAATCCTGATTTAGTGGTAAAACTACTTACTGAGCGAGAGGAGAGGGAATTCGTACTACTTACGGGCTTCGATGAAATTTTTAGTGATGATGCGCGCGGGATTAAGCCGTAGCCTCCGCAGGGTGATCGGGTTATCTCACCTGTTCTATTATTAAGCTTAATTGAGGAACCGGAAACCCTAAGAAGTATTAAAAAAAGCTGGTAGAAGCTACGAAAGGCTATCGAAAGCCTACTAGATCGACCTGGCAGAGTTGAGAAGGTGGAACGGCGATGGATACGCTTAGAAACGAAGACCGTCACTAAATTCGAAGAGGTTATTATTAAGGATAATCTCCTTGCTAAGTCCACTAAGGTCCGTAGCGAGTACATATATACTAATCGCACTAAGCGGCAGATTACTAAGGTCAAGGTGCTCACTACTAAGGATGCTAATGCGCGCATTGCCTAGCGTACTAAAAAGGAGAATCAGCAGTGGGTGTAGCGGGTGCGCAGGGAGAATACGAAGAAGCTTGCTGAAGAAGAGGCTACAGCAGCGAAATTGGCCGAATTGAGGAGAAAAGCCCTTGCTAGCAGTGATATTGATCGTATGTTTGAGCCCTTTGATATTTTTTTTGAAGATAGAGAAGGGGATAGCTCACTAAGGGTGTAAATAATTGGTGTATGGGGGGATTAGCTCTCCAGGCGCGCGAATAGTATACGCGATATTCGCGCGCCAAAGCAAAAGTTTCTGATTTTCATTACTTTCGTAGGCCTCTAAAGCCTTGCTAATTCGATCCTCTTCTTCTGTATATGGATTGCTCATGGTGGTGGCGGATAAATTGGGTGCGAAAGTGGTAAATGGGGGGATTTTTTGCATTGGAAAATTTTTTGCATTGGAAGTTGGACCACCCAATCCCGGTAGGGGTTGGGTGGTCAGTGCCACGGGTATTCGCGATCGCCGAGGTAGCGCGCGCCAGAAATCGGACGCTCGGACAACTTTTTTCTGTGGCAGATGAGCAAAAATTCCCTCCACTGGGGGGTTCTCATTTAGGTATCAATGGACATCACGTCAATGTAACCGCCCAGGAGTTTGCTGGCTTGCATTTGTTTCACTTCGATAGCGCATAAGATCCTGGTGTCGGCGCTTTGTGAAACAGCTTCCTTGGTTACCATCCACCTGTGAATTGTACGCATCGTGGCGGCTAGGGGTATGCGCTGTGGGGTCGGGCGAATCGCTGAGGGGTCTCAAAATGGGCTGGCGCCTGATGCATTGGCCATTCCCCAAGCTGACTGCCATTCGTGGTTTTGGAATGTCCGCATAAAATGATACGGGTAGACGCCCAGTAATCCGATCTCGATGCGTGCTCCCGCAGAGATTCCATTAATAGAGTTCCACGGAGCTTGTTGACTTTCAAGTCACAAACGCTCGTATCAACGCCATGGGACACCCTGGGCTGCGAAGCGCGTATGAAAGATCAATATAGATACAGTACGTCGCGAAACCGGTGCAACCAGCTCCACTCTCCGATTAACTTTCCTGCCCCTTACGCCAAGACACACTAGTCTGTATTTAGAGTTCTTCCGGGAGTTGCGTATGTATTCCTTCGTGGGAGTTGTTACACACACAGCAGCTTTTACTAGCCGCACAGCAATTATGTAATATTCCGCATCACATAATCAATTTCGCCAAGGATCCTTACCATACATTACCACGCCATCCCTACTAACTCCCCACTATAAGCAACCACGAAGGCTCATCAAGAAAGCACCTTTATAGTGCTCAAATTATAGAGAAATCTATTATATGAACTATTCCTGTATGGTGTAATTTAGTATATGAATAATGTGCAACTGACCTACCAAATTAATCAGAGATTACTCAGAAGATATCGTGATTTTAGAGTAGTAGTTAATAGTTGCGAATTGGAAAGTAAGGTAGTTGCTGCGGTAATGTATGGTAAGGATTCTTGGCGAAATTGATTATGTGATGCGGAATATTACATAATTGCTGTGCGGCTAGTAAAAGCTGCTGTGTGTGTAACAATTCCCTTCCTTCGTACGTAGGTTACATAATAATTTCAGGCATGTATTCACTTGTAAATTCAATACATCGGACACCACTATGCCCCTCTCCTCCCGAAGCAAGTTTCCTCGGGAGGCACTATTTCATAATCAATCACTAGTGGTCCAACCAACGATGGCTCCATACTCCTTCAAAGCATGGGCTTATCTATGACATGATCCATAGTAGCCAACTATCTATAACTGAGATGGCACAGGCCGCTGGTTGCAACAAGAGCACCGTCTCGAGAATCTCGTCCAATATAAGAATGATTGGTAGCGTCAAATCACCGAATGGGTTAGCAGACTGGAGAAGAGTGGATGGAAAAAGCACGAAATACATAAGCAAAGCCTCCTTATCCTTCCCCCCACGTACACCGATATCACCAGGTATGTATTCCGCATCGATATCTCTTCGCACCTAAAGCATATAACTGGCCACTTCGTGGTCTCCTGTGTGCGGGTGTTATCTTCACCCTATGACGGTCAGTGTGCGACGACCGTTCTGGCCCTTTTTTGTCGTGTTTTGCTTTCTGCCATTTCAACCACTCGGCGATATGCCAATACGGCCGGCTTAGTTAGCTTTGTTAGCGATGTCCAACATCTTCCTCGAACCTAGGCTAGCTGTCCAACGGGTAGAAGGGACCGCATCTAAATGTTTGGGACCAGTCGGTTTCCGGGTACAGCAGTGCTGGGTCCGCCCAGTCGGAGCGGAGCTCCGTCTCAAAGTCGAGTTTGAAGGGATATTCGTGCGTGAAGATGTTGGTGCTAAACTCGACGGTGTTAAAGTGCGTGTCCGTGAGTGTAGCTACCGAGTCGATAGGAAGTGCAGGACTAAGGCTAAGACAAGAGCTGGTGCAGCTGTTGTCGCCGCTGTTCAGGTTGTCTGCCGAGATTGTGTTCTTATTGATGCGGATTCTCCCAAAGTAGGGGATGGCTACGGCGTAGTCGTCGTCGGCAACGTAGGCGCCGTGCCGTGCCGCGTTGACCAGATCGAGGATGCGAGCGGCCTGCGTGGCGACGACACAGTCCATGATGGCGACAGTACGCCGCAGACAGAGGGACACGTCTCCGACGAGCGCCCAGTCCTGCTCTTTGGTGAGTGGTGTAGCCCTCGCGGGGGATATTAGGTGTCCTATGATAAGAACCATGGCTGCGCTAAAGGCTTGGAAGTCCATTAGCTCACATAGGTCTGCACCGGCGCCCGGCCACGTCCTAAAATCGGTGTATGCTCTCGTCGCGCCGCGCGCCGCCTCCATGGCACGGTCCCAGCTATGGAAGAACTTGGATTCGTCCGCCGACTTGAGCATGTACGGCAGGTGCACGAGCTTAAGGATCGTGAAGAAGATGAGCTTGCTGGCTTGCTGGTTCCAGCAGTCGGAGAGCGACATGTCCGGTGCCAGAGGGAGCCACTGTTCATCTGGGAAGAGGCGGTATACCTCTTCCATGTCCTGGTCGATCTGGACGGTTGTCGCATAGCTAACTGCAGAGTAGTGCGCCTGGTCGCGGTCGATAGCCTTCCCGCAGATGACTGCCAACGACCACATGATGCAGCTCATCAACGGGGCGGAAGGCGAGTCGGACGACGTTCCCGGGTGGTTTGCCGAGACGGACGTCGGCAGCCCTAGCATCAGGGCCAAGAGCCGTTCCGAGTGCCATGACGTGGACCACGCATGCGCGGCGCGCATGTTCAGCGTCTCCGCCTTGCCGGGGAGGCTGCAGCTCACGGCCGTGGTGATGGCTTGGCGACACCAGTACCACGCTTTTTGCGGCCGCCCCATATTGATGTACAACTTGTACAGCATGTTCATGCCCTCGACGCCATCGATGGTCCCACCGCACTCCGCGTCCAGCTGCAGCAGTGACTTTGCTATTTTTATGTACATGTCGACGAGATCGTCCTGAGCATAGGCAAGGCTCATAGTGGACAAGACGCTTCTAGGCGTCTGCTGCACGCAAAGCGCTACCCACAGAGCCGATCTTGCTATCAGACCTGGCTCTGTGGAGCTGGTGACTACTGTGACAAGGATCTGTCGCGCCAGCTGCCTATTTCCGGGTCCCAAAACGTCGGTTGCCAAGGGCTCTCCGTAGTGGTATGGCGGCCATATCGGCCAGTACTTCTCTGTGGCTTCCAGAATACGGTCAAGATCCTGCGTCGACGGGAGCAGCGAGACGAGACTATGTAGGCATTGAACCATGCTAGACGCAGTTAAGATGTCCAACGGCGGTGGTGTCGTAGACGCTGGCTCGTTGTCCTTGTCCAGTAGTGAGGCGCCCTTGAATAGAAGCATCAACGGCGAGTTGTCGACGGCCGGATACTTTGACGGCTCGACTCCACCGCGCGTTGCTGCCGGCACTGGCCTCCCGCCCACGGCAGATAGTGCGGTCGCCTGTGAGTGCGCGAGCGTCGTGGTGGAGGATAGGCCGCTGTAAGGATCTCGTCCACGCACAACAGGCGCATCGTCTCCAGCAAAGTCGGAGCGGGGGGCACCGTCGCATTCGGAGGAAGCTTGTGGACAATGGCCTCGAGGTCCCGTAAGCGCCGCTTCAGAGCGTCAACCCCGTCGCTGGGCACTTCACGGCCTCCGGTCTGCTGAGCGATGCAGTCGATCTCATGGGCCAGACATGCCTCGCAGGCGCTTTCGTCTGTCCGGAGGATGCAGCGGACTTTCCTTCGGCGGCACTCTATACAGCTTTTGGTGCCGAGCCGCATGCGCTTTCCGGGCGTCATAGTAATGTGCGTAGATAAGGGATAGGGAGCGTGGTCCCCCTGTGTATATCTTCCTTGATGCAAGCCCCGCGCCTTTATTACGTGGGTATCGAACCAGGTACGCTACCGCGGTCGCTTAAAGGTAGAACAGGGAGAGAGTAACGACCTGGATATTCTGCATGCGTTCGTGGGCTTGTGATTGTGCGAGACCTCGACGCAGCTGCGTATGTGGCAGGAAGGAGCGATCCGTTTTGGATTCGCTCGAGTTCGGGCGAGTCGGCCGAATTCGGGGGGGCATCGGTATCTAAGTCCCAAATTCAACGGCGACATTACAATTAACATAGCAGTGTTGCGGTCTGTCTCTCTACTTGAATGGAATACTCAAAGTCCCTATTTTCCGGGGCCGAAAGAATAGAAGTTTATCACATCCGCAGTATCATTCATAGATGTCCACTTCGTCCACAGGCTGCAGATTACGAGAAATCTTTTTTAAGTTGACACCTGAGCAGCTCTCAATCAAAAGTTCCCTTCACCCGGCGATACAAATGAATAATTTCGACCCATTAATAGCATAGTATACACCTGCTTCATGGTATAACACAGCTACCTTGACCTATACAGTATTTATCCACTCCAGCGCAGTCTCGGGCTCAAGTCTTTTGGTATAATCCGGATCAACAAAAGTCTTTCGCACAACACCTTTTCCATCCACCAACAATGACGCTGGTATGGGCAACTCGAAGGAATCATCGCCATTGCCCTCAATGAGATCGTGCCCCGCAGTCTTAAAGACCGGTCTCAAGGTCTCGGGCATCTTCCACACAATACCTAATTTCCGTGCATACTTGTTGCTCGTATCAGAAAGCACAGTAAATTTCAAACCTTGCTTCTCTGTCATGGACAGTGTCTTGGTGGGTAGCTCGGGCGTAATGGCCACGAGGGTGACGCCCTTAGCTTCGAACTCAGCTAGGTGCTTCTGGAGAGATGCGAGGTGCAGGTTGCAAAAGGGACACCACTCGCCACGGTAGAAGGTGATGAGGATAGGGCCATTGGCGAGGACAGTCTTGCTGGAGACAGTATTGCCAAGTGCGTCCGTCAAGATGAATTCCGGCAGGGCAGCACCAACTTGAATGGCGGTCCCTGGGTCCGTGGTTGCGTCAAAACTTATCCTACACGAATACGTAGATCAAAAAGGGGAAATGATACTAACCTGGATCATAAGAGGCCTTGATACTTGAGACTGATTCCCTGATGGGATCAACGATAGACTTTGGCGCATTGGCGTAGAAGTTGTCGCGCACGCCCGCTAGTTCGGTATTGAGACTCATTTGAGCTGAGCTCAAGAGTCTACTCGAGTGATAAGCGAAGCGTCAAGTATGGAAACTTAGGCTTCTTAATGGGTGGGCCCAAGTGCGAATACGCTACCTTTTTATATTTACTTGACCAGTGGATTTATATACAGTTCGTTCGATTTCGTTCGATTTCGTGCGATTTCGTGCGATTTCGTCCGACTGGATTTGAATTATTGATGCATTGTTATTCTCTACAGCAATGGGGTGCGACAAGGGCTTCGATCGATGACAGATTCGACCGAATTCATCCGAGGACAGCACGGAACTTTGTCGTCGTCATATACGGGAATTGTGCAATGCCAACTCGTATAAATAGCCTCTTGACGCATGCTATTAGATGAGCAAGCACGGAATTTGCACTAAGATAACGCTCGCCTGCACTTGATTACACCTCCTACCCAAACATTCGACAATGCCACATGACATGTCAGACCCTGTTTCACGATATGAGGGGTATGTTAAGGAACATAACTTCGTCTTCGTCGTCTGTACGTCTTGGTGGTCCTCCCCAGTAGGGACTCAAACTAAAATTATTTCCCAGATTACCGCGGGCACTGGTGTCCTTTCTGCATGTCTTATTTGAGAACCCTGCAATCAATTCTCCCTCACATCACTGCGGCCGGGGGTAAAGCCATTGCTGTTACTGCTGAGCCCGAGCAGCGCCTTGCAGACACGATCAACGCTACGGGCTACAGTGGTGACATAATCGTCGACACTAAGAACAAGATCGCAGCGGATCTAAAACAACGGATAAATTTCAATGTTGCCATCTCGTCGAAGTCAGGATACGAACATGGCATGGCACAACCGGCCATTCTAGTATTGAGAAACGACGGGACAGTGCTGTTCGATTGGGCTATTGTGCCTGGGGTGATGAATCTTGGTGGCGCTAAGGACCGCCCGGATTTAAATCAGGTCTGGGAGAATGTGCTGGCGCGGTTGAATGGACAGCCACTTGTGCACAAGAAATACACCTTGCAGTCATTTTGGAGTGTCGTGACGCAGAAGCTGTTCAGCTGAGCGAGGAAAGGCTGCTGCTGTTACGATTGAGGGCGTTCAAGTCCATTCGGAAGAGACGACCGTATTTAATGAAAGTAAATAATGGTATCAAGACTGGTAAAGGAATATTGATATTCCGGGGCTATTCCTAATGTGTTATAGTGTCACTTGGTGGTGGGCCTGGAGAAACACCAGAAGAGTGGAGGCGGTTGCACCGGTTTCGCAACGTACTGTAAAGGAAAGACTACTTGGTTCCTTCCAGGTCTCTTTCTCTCTTTTATCTTGATCATTATCCCTTCGCACTATTGTCTACTACAACTATACTTTCGTTAAGATACCCAGCTTGCTGGAAACTCCTTTTATGTCAGAAAATGTCCGCACCAAAAACTGCTAGGGAACGAGCGGCCTTGATCAAGAAGCAGCAGGAAGATGCTTTAGCTGCACTTCCTCTTAACGCACTGTTCATTGTTCTCTGGATCCGATCTGATCCACCCCGTCCGAATGATTTTCACTGGGGCTACTACTTCCATACGAACTCCCAAGGTGGTGTCAAATACCACATGAGAAATATCGGAGGTGGCTGGATGCCTGATCACGGTCCCACTGGGGGCGTCTTCAAGTCGAATTTCCTATGTGTCCTCATTCAAGTCGGAACCATCCCGGAGGCAGCACGCAACACACTCGATCAAACTATGCGATCCCACGATGGCGATGTTAACACGATACCTGGAGTAACTTGCCGAGTATGGGTCCTAACGATCTTTCGGAGGCTCATGCAGTACGGAATCGTCCGGTGCAGCGATATTGGTGGACTGGAAAGAGAATGCATGACGCTGGGAAATCAGTATAGTCCGGGTGCTGCTATCAATCAACAACCGCGGCCTGTTGTGAGATCCAGTCTTTGTCTTTAAAGACAGCCGCAGCACCTGCTGGACCACCGATCTCAATTTCAGGTGTGGCCAATCTCGTCCCTTTCTCCTGTTATCTGTCCTCCATGTATGTACATCAGATAATTTAAGCGTGGGAAGTGAATTAATGCTTTAAAGTTGAGACCAAGTTTTCGGACTTATCATGAAACTATCAGAAAGCTATGTATGAATCGACGGTCAAAGAGTTCAACGCAATATCACACTTCAACTCCCGCCTGTACTGATCACCTCCGATCCACGAGGCCACTTGAAACCACCAACTATTGGTTCCGTATCTCATCGCGGTAGTAAAATCCCAGTACTCAGGATACCACCCGGCCGATTCCCAGTCGAGAAAACCCGAAAGATGCCCGTCATCCCCAACAAGGATGTTGTGAGCTTTGAGGTCGCCATGGGTGAAAGTAATTCGGTGAGGGTAGTTGCGGATTTCATTGGCTTGTTCCAAAGCCTTGATGTATTCTGCGGTCGTATCAAAGCCGTGCCCCGAAGCTGTACTCAAGAGATAATCGTTGAATTCATTTTCGTCGGCAAATGGTCCCATGATGTGACCGGGTACACGCGGGCTTCGTATTGAAGTGCCAATGGCTGAGCATATCTCCGCAGAGTGGGGCGAAGTCCATCTGCGCATGGCAATGACGCATTCTCTCAGCTCGAAGAGCCATGGATCCTCAGATTCGACGAGTAAAGTGTCAGCAGAGTTCTCGAGGGGGGAGCCCGGCAGTCGTGTCATCAGTATTGAGAAATTGCGATTGTACGGCGCATTCGGGTGTTCTCCACAACAAAGGACCTTTGGGATCGGCATCCCGGCAGCCCGCGCCATGTGCATTGCGGCAGCCTCCTCCAAACTTGTTCGATCTGTCCACTTCAAGACAAGTCCAAAGGGCAATTGTATGATGTTGGCATCAAATTGTATGCCAAAACAGGCACAATACCATTCGGATATGTAGTATAGAGCTTCATGTACTATGCCCCATGCTCTTAGTCGCAGCTTTCCAGGTGAAGATGGCACCTTAGGAGTTGACTTGCAAATGGATGATCCCATCGGTCGAGGCCATGTGAAATCCGGTCGCAAGAACGAAGTGATCGCCGACATATGGGCCAGTAAAAATTCCGTGACAGTGTATGAGAGGATCAGGCAAGCCCTGCTTCTTGTTTGCAACTGTGAGGAAAGCGATTCCTTGCCGCATCATATTTGGTGTGTTTGGTGCTTGTGAAGTTTTGTTTATCAGGAGGTGCTGTTGTCATGTGACTACTAAAGCTCTTGGCGGCACAACCTACACCGCCTTCAGTGGGGTTGCGTTCAGTGCCCCTTTCCTTCACACTAACAACCCATTCTCCTGTCTATCAGCGTTAGACTTCTACCTCTTGCTTGACGGCATGGCCATGGCTGGGCACGAAAGAAACGACTTACCGACGGTTGCAGAGATCGAAGCGTCACCTGATGTGCTGAGTGTTCGGACAAATGCTGTCAAGGTTGTTCGAGTTCGGGAACGCTTCGCAGTCAAGATTGGCTATTCTATTCCACCACTGGAGGCAGAGAACATGATATTCGTTGCACACAACAGCAACGTTCCGGTACCGAAGGTTCATGATAACTTTGTCGATCCGGAAACTCAAAAGAGATACATCATTATGGATTATATCCCAGGCACGGACCTTGAGAAATTACTACCGTCGCTCACGACAATCGAAAAGAAGGCAATTAGCGCACGGATTAAATGCGCAGTTGATGAACTACGGCAGATCCCAGCTCAAGGGTATTTTGGAAACTTGGGATACCAGCCTTATTACGATGGTGTTCTCTCCTCACCAGATGACAATCCAACAATTTCGGGGCCATTCGAGGATCAAGAGCAAATGAATCAGGGTATCTTGACGAGGCTTGGCCAGAAGGAGTCGCCCCACTACATTCGTCTTTTGCGAGGAATGGTTGATCGGACCCTCAAAGACCACAAGATTGTGTTTACGCATGGAGATCTTCAACCAAAGAACATAATGGTTGAACGTAATGGACACCAAGAGGATGGAAGTGCAGACTTTAAAATCACATTGATTGATTGGAATCTTTCGGGCTGGTACCCAGAATTTTGGGATTTCTGCAATTCGACGCTTTATTGCCAGTTAAAGCATGATTGGTTAGAGCTCATCCCGGATATTTTCGACCAGTATCCTTTGGAATATTTGATGATGCAAGTTGTTTACTCCTCAGTGTTTTACTAGGAATTGGTCACCCCTTCTTCCGGATTCAAATCATGATTGTGCTCAATTTGCTATATAAATATTGTAAGGTACCAGGGGACTGATCGTCACCCGATACCTATGATTTTCGTTCCAATTCTCCTACGTCAGCGGAGCTGAGAACTTGAATCCCCCGTAAGCAGTTGTAGGGTATCGCTAAGCTGGAGAGTCCTCCAACGCCCTTTCGCTTCATCTCTTATTCCATGTTAGATAACGGCTTGGCAAACATTTCTTGCACTGGACTTACGCTAATCAACGTTTGAAAATACCCTTTTCGAATGCTAGCTTCTGGACATCGCGGAGCCAGTCTCCGCAGCGATAGAGCTGCGTGCCAGGATACAGTTGCTTGCCACCAAGAGTCAATTGAGCGCGCGGCGCGGGAACTGCTTGGCAGCACTCTGTGTCGAATCTGGCCAAGTCTTCCCTTGCGATGGTCCCAATCTTTCTTTTGGTTCCCGGTACATGCGAAGCGGAGAATTCTGGGTCCATTGAGCCTCTGGGATCGTATTTCATGCCTTGAAGTAGATTTCCAGTCACGTGATAGAGGCGTCCTCCTTCCGAGGTTCTCTGGGCGGCAGGGTTGGTTTCGATATAAATGGCTTCATGGTTTGGCACGCCAGCGTATTCGGCTGTATAGACATTGAAGGACATGATTAGGCTCTGAAATAACTGAAATACTAATAAGTAGATTTGTAAAGTGAGGAGAGAATGAATGAAGCTGCAGAGTCTCTTCTATTGACTACTTTTCCCGCCTTTTATATGCTCTGTACCGCGCTTCAGGACCTTCATTTCACCTTTGCTTCCCGCAACGTTGTAGGTCTGGAAAGCGTATCGCCATCTCTGGAGGCTATTTGAGGTCATCAAGGATGATAGATGGAAGTGCATTGGATCACATTTGCTGGCAAATAAGCGCCAAAACCTCAAACCCGATCTTACCTGCTCACTCCCGTTTCGCTTTTCTGAAGCTCTTTTGCGTTTTAAGTTAGTGCTTAGAGTCTACTTACCTGGGAACTTCAAAACAAATTCCTACGTAGTTGACTCGGGAGGGTGAGAGCCAGTGGTTCCATGGAGACTCTAATTTTAAGGGAAGAAAATGTCCGGGCGCTTAGCTGTATTTCCACCTATCCTGTAAATTAGGGTAGTCTCAGACCTTTGAGGTGCTACTGTAGGTATCTGTAATTTAGCGCCCTGTTCCTCTGGAAATTATCTAAAACAACACAGGTTTCAGCTTTACTGTAGCGGCCAATATGACATAGCTCAATAAGCATTAGCCCGAAAATATTCATTAACAAACTTTCTGTACGATGGCGTCATCTCCTCGCCACTGTAGGGTACTAATGGTTCTTTCCAAATTCCAATGACTAGGAGGGGTATCTAGTGATCTATATCACATGGGAGGTATGGTGATATTTTGCCTTGCAGTAACACAGGCCTTAGAAAATAGCAGTACATCAGGACGTCGTTTATTCCTGGTATAAAAAGGATGCTAGCTTGAGAATTTTTTTGTAAGAGAAAGACAATAGAAAGCTAGTCGCGCGGTATCTAGGAAAATAGTTTGAGACCTGCTTGTCTCAATAAAGAAATTTCTCGCCATCCGTGTCTCCTCCACGTCTGCTTGAGTACCTTTGCATGACGGCGAAGTATACATGGAAAAGTACAGGCACATCCTACAGCACACCACCATAAGATTTGAGCAGAGTATCCGATCTTCTACGAGGGTTTGCAATTTCAACATTAAAATGGGACTTAATTCTCAGGAATGCAAAACGTATTGTGAACTCGTAAGCGCCCGCCCGATTTAGCTTGTTCAATTATTCTTGGGTGACCATGTCCGTTGATGGAATGATGCACACCGGTACCAAGGTCGGTTCTAAAATTGATTCATATCATTGCGTGTTTCAAGATGTACCAGTTTATGTTCCTGCAATTGCGTGAATTGACTAGAATTGGTTCCGTTATTTCTGTGTGGCCTACCATATAAGAAACTACAACCTTTCTTCTCGAGTTTTCTGATCACTTTGTTCATACGTCTTTGGTTCTGTTATGCAAGTACATCTACTGGCTGTCTTCTCAACTTAAACATCTCACATTCGATCGCCTGGATATTCAAATACCGGATCGCATTGCCGGTTTGTTCCCAGGACCTATTGTCTGATATACCTTGACACCGACTCTGTAAACTTTTTTCGTTCCATGAGTCCATGATGGTGAAGACCGGAAGCTATTTGCGTATTGTACGCGAACCCCACGACGACGAAAAGTATGTGATGGCAGCATACGAAAGGCATTCAAGCCGTTGCACCAAATGTATATTTCCTCTCGAAATGTCAGGACAAGGCTCACTGTGTGCGCGTGGCTACGAGTATGCCCGCGATGTTGCCAATTATCTCTTTGCCCAGGAAGGGAAGCACTTCTCCGTTGTTTCAAGAGAAAGGGGAAAGTCTGTACAGGTTAAGATCCCTCGCAGTGCTTTCGCGGTCCACAACCTGCTGGCGGCTATTGAAGCTGGCCTGCATCTATACATCCGGAAAGCTTTTCTATTCGATTGTTATCATACTCCGCAACTCGGTACGAAACATAATCAACTCCAGAACCAGTCGCCAAAAGTGAGAAGATACAAGATAATTGAGAGAAAACCGCAAACACTCCAACATCCTGTCCCTCTGCATCACTCGCTACTCAAATATCTCTGACGTGTTCACTATGTTTTCGAGTGTACAGGCTAATTGGAGCCATGGAGAACACTCAAACACCTATCTGCTATAATGTACGAATACGCATGAGCAATACCAACTTGCTACTTGCACTTAGATCGAGATAAGAGTGTGGATGCCATGAACTTCATGGCACTCCCAGATCACATTCGTTATCTATATCCTGTCCATGGCATGCAGCGTGTTTTGATATATTGCATTTTCACATGCTCGTTGATAATTTGAGTGCAATTATTATCACTAGTCCAAGCGGGCATTTTTGCTATTAATTGGTATTCAAAGTCTGTGTGTGTAAGGGCCTCAGAGCATTCGTTTCGACTGGGTCAATCTTCTCCCCCATACAGCTTGATGACCGCAGGTCTTTCGGAGCCAAGCGATGACTAAGCCATCCTGATTCTGGACGTGTCTTGGTAAGCAAACCACCACGGCACCTTGGCTGCATATAAATACGTTACGCAATCGTCATATTAGTGTGTTACCAACATGGGAAATGCCCAGCGGCGTGCAAGAGATTGGCTTCCCTGGGTGGTCTGCTTGACTGTACGCGAGTGAACTCGAACGCATACTGTAAATAACTTCATTGCGGTACGGTGAGACTGAAGACTGTATTCAAACATCTAAATAAATAGTTTTTTTTTGATTTAATCGTGGCTGAGAGGTAGGCTGTGAATCGTCGATTTGTGTCCGGACAACAGTGTTCGCCGTATCAAGGTAATGTAAAGCGGATTGGCGGGGACCAGGGACGGCCGTTTGAACCGTCCCCAATAGCTCTTCAGCCTCAACCAACCTGTCATCTCTATACATGTTTGCAGCTCGTTGGTACCTTCTCTGAATCACGTAGGGTGCTTCTCGTGCATAGCGACGCAGAGCTGCCACGGCAGTTCTGTACCCTTGGTCATTGGGGCTTTGGAACTTGCACATCCTTTGATGATCCGCACCTATGCCGCATCTTTCTGTGTTGTCGAGAATAGGTGCCGCACTCGTTTCATCCACAATATAATCTCTCCTGTATTTGAGATTGGTCTTTTCTTGCTCCCAAAAGAAAAAGACACGGAAATTTGGCATCAAAGGAGCAAACTGGTCGGTGATATTCTGCAGTATCTCAGATTCCTTCTCGAGTGCGTTGACTAGCCCCGATTCAAATTCCACCACAGTCTTTGGAATGGTAAGCGACGCCATTTTTTGAAGGCTACCAAGCAGGTTGGCTTTGTTTGATCCGTGATGTGGTGTGCCGAAGAAAAGAATAGCAAATGTACAGGTGTAAATTGAATGGACATGGGCGAGTCTAGGTCGGCTCTCTGCGTAAGCCAAGGCCTGTTCATAGTCAGCACATCGGTTTGTTTCGGTGTTCATGGTATTCCTGTCCATTTGACCTTACTCTTTTGACAATGATGCCTCCGAGAGAATGGCAAACAAAGATAATGGGTCTTTTCGTCGCATCTTCAAGCTATTACCATCAGTAAAGTCTCGGTGAGTAGACCTAGAGGGAACCTACATCTCTATCAGACTCCAGTTGAGAAACTAATGTTTGCGCGTGTTGTAGCACTCTATCGGCGCTGGGTGTCTTTGCGTTCCATGACGCGATACTTGCATTATAACCCCAGGCTAGGACACGGGCACGCGGAATGTACTTCGGCAAGTAGGCTGGGTTGCTCAACCAGCATGTACCTTGGGGCTTAGATGTCCATGTTTCCGTCACATGGCCATTTAGTCCATGAACAGCGACGATGCTGCTTGGGGGTTAATAGAATATCAGGTTAAGTGAATTAGAAGGAAACGCACTCAATTTCGATTTCCTCATTATCGGGACGGTATAGCTCCCGTATTCCGTAGCTCTGTTGAGTAACATCCATACCCCTACTATTCACAAAGCTCTGTCGAGTGCTTAAGTTTTGAGATGAGAGTTAGACATTGTTGGGTGCTGGGATGGCCAAAATTTATATTCGTAGTTGTTTCTATCTTTGGAAGGCCCCACCCATTTAATTGGATGCGAGGCCATAGTCTAAGTACAGTTTTGGCCCCCAACAAGTGACGTACACTGCATTAGTGCGGGCGCTTGTGATGAAAGGGATATTTACTGCATCGAATGAAGCACTCGGGCGGTAAATGTTGGTCTATTGCTTCATGATTCGCTGCAGTCATCAGGCGGTACGTGTACCTGTTCCATCATGCGCCCTCCGGATCATTAGGTCCACCTCCAATATTGCACGTCACTCGTTTTAGACAAGGCAGCAATATGTTCAAGGCTCAACAAATTCATGTTTTTGGTGGAAGCACCTGAAGAACTAGAGTAATGTGAAGCATGCGGGTACATATCAGCAGGCACATCAAGCCGTCCCTAGTTACGCGACGGATACATTGTACATAGAGCCATAGCCTAGAGCGGTAGCTTGAGCGATGAAGGGAATGATACTTCTTGTTAGGCTGTGGATATGACTTTGGTTTTTTAAAGCTACACACGAACTTCCACTTTGCACCCTTCGGCGCTTAAAAGCACCAGTGTCAGCCGCTGTCTCTCGCTTCCTACCGGTTCATTCGGCTCACCCACAGGTAACTTGATCAGCGAGAATGTCTGTAGTATCCTGACTATAGTGTAAGAAACCTCCATTTGAGCGAAATCCTCGCCCAGACATTGCCGGGGTCCACCACTGAAAGGAAAATAAGCCCAGCGAATACTCTCAAGTTCACCGCTTTCCCAGCGCTCAGGTCGAAAGTCATATGCATCAGAACCGAAGATGTTTTTTTTTCGTGAATTCACATACTGCGAAAACACGACGAGTTCACCTTTCCTTACCAACATTGGTTTGTCTCCTTCCGGACCCCCTCCTATTGGTAGAATAGTAGTTCGTACCGCTTCCCGATTGTTCAGCGGAACAGGAGGATAGAGACGAAGACCTGTAGAGAATATAAGCGACTGCTCCGTAAGAATGTCCCAAATTGTTCCGACCCACTTTCTTTGATCACACAAGCAAGATATGGCATTTTCTTAATTTGGTCCCTTGTTGGTACCTGACCACCCTCCATGACTGAGGCTATTTCTTGCCGCAAGCGTTTCATGACATTCACATGACGAACAAGGAGTCGACTGATGACCAGAAAGGCGATGTCAGCGCTGGTTTGGAAGCGAGTTCTGAGCCCAATACGTACAACGTCCAAGACAAACAGCATGCTGTTGTATCCCGGCCAGCAAGCAAAACGTTCAGGAGTTGATCGCGGAGCTCCTTCACGCTTGTCGACTCTTCGGCTATCTGCTTTATGAAGCCACTTTGTTTCATTTCATGTCGTTCAGCATTTTCTAAATCCAAGTCCTTGATGTATCTTTCCACAAATTGGTGTACATTAGCACACGCTTTGCGAAAAGCTGGGGGATTATAGAGAAAGTGCCAAGGTGCTATACGAAAGCGTTTAGCAAGACCCTCTTGGGCGATGTTAAAGCTTTCCGCAAAGAGTTTGTTTTCTTTGTGCTGATCGATACCTGCCCTCAAACTATAGACCGATCGACCAAAAAGTAGAGCTGTCGCAGTATCTAAGGTCAGATCGAAAAATAGAGGCTGTAGATCGACAACTCCACTTGAAGGTAGGCGATTGATCAGGTTGTCAACATGCTCGCGAAAGTGGTCCAAGTTCTGATACTGAACACGAATAAATTGCTTTCGCAGGAGTTCTCGAGAATGTTTCCATGCTAGTCCTTCTTGAGTAAAAATGCCATTTCCCAGTAAGGGTGCAAAAATCTGAGGTCTTGCGCCGAAACCGTAGTCTGCTCATTCTCTCGAAAAGTCGTAAGCACGGTTCTGCCTGCTAATTGTTCTAGAGAATGGCGGACGAGAGTCACCTTTGAAATTTGTTGACAAAACAGTCTCCACATTTGATGGATGCAGTAAATGAAAAGCTCTCGGTCCAAATAACAGATACTGGGTGAGATTATTCCCAGGTTCGTAATCTTCTGCGACCTTGCAAAGGTATGCAAGAAGTCGACCTTCCGCATTTGTTTCCCAAAGGTCCTTGATGCGATCGATACCAAATGGCCATTTCTTGGGCAGCTCAGGTGGTAACTGGCAACCGTGTTGCAATCCCAAAGCAGAATCGTTCTGCAGGCTGTGAGTGTGACTGTGTGAGGCTGCGTTTATTGCAGATCGAATGTTCACTTACGCGGTAGGCTTTGAATCTCAACAGAGAGAGGTAGCAGACACGACTGACGCCGAGTATGAATAAGGCCCAGACTAGAAAAGTAGCCGCCATCATGTTTGGAAAGGGACCTTGACTTGGCTGTAATTATTCTTGATTTGAGGGTTAAATTAGGGGCGGAAGGGGATGGCACTTATAGCCGCTTGTGCCGTTTCCCCTCCGGCGGTCAACACGCCTCCGCCAAGACCGCAGCGCCATAGCTGGCACGCTAATGCACGAGAATCACACACCACCCCACATAGAAAAGTGGATCCTGGGCCAGTATTTTTCGACCCTTGACCATTCCAATCGTCGCCGCCGAATCTTCCTGTTGAGTATATCTGACACGGACGCCATCCATCATTTACCTCCCCTCCCACCTTTCCCTCCTTGTAGCCCTCCCATTCCGCTCACAGAGTCACGCACGGCGCCCAAAATTTTCAGCGTCTGTGGCAATTTTCACCATGCCTTCGGGGCTCCACGTATTGTATTCGCCTAATCTTCCCCCTCACGAAAGTGGTCAGGACCAGAAAACTGCTGGTGTAGAGTAAGCAACCCCACCGAGAGCTTAAACAGTGCAATCTGACCATTTTTGGACAGTATCGTTGCAGTTCACGGCTTAGCCGAAGATTCAAGGAAAGCCTGGACGCAACGGGAACAAGGCGTCTTGTGGCTCAGAGATCTCCTGCCACGAAGTATCCATAATGCAAGGGTTCTTACTTTTGATTATAACTCTGATCCTTTTCTATTCACTGGATCAGGTTTCATGGACACAGTCCAAGGCCATGCAACTACTCTGGTGGCAGATTTGGAGGCTGAGCGGAGTTTGATAAATGCCTCTCAACGACCTCTCATCTTTGTCTGCCATGGGCTCGGAGGTATCATCGTCAAAAGTGCGCTTGTCCATTCAGCGAGTCGGACTTCTCATCAGACTTCTCACCTCAATTCTGTATATGTTTCAACATTCGCTATTTTGCTCTTTGGAACGCCACATGACCGCATCGATATTGGAAAATGGCTGGCTACAAGTCAGTCAGTATTCACAACCTATGATCCCGGAGCAGTTGGCAATATGCGAGACGACAATGCTAAACCATCCATCACTGTGCATGCTTTGGATGTCATCACAAACCAATTTGCTCCACTCATGAAAAAGATTCATTTGTATCTTTTCTGGGAGGGCCTAGCGACGCATCTTGCAGACGGCGTTGAGTTCTTCGTTGAACCATCATCTGCTGCTCCCCACACGTATGACACTGAACGATGCGGAATTATGGACTCCAATCACTCAGGCATGGTTAAGTTTCACGAGTATGATTCTTCCTATCGGACTGTCATATCTGCTCTGAAGAAATATTGCCATGCAGCACCAGAGATAATTGCATACCGATGGAAAGAAGCAATGGCATACCTGACGCGCATGAGGAAGAGTGAAGCTTCAGAGTTGACTGGTTTGTTCCTTGATATCCCGGACAAGACCCCGATTTTTGGGGCAGAAAAGAAAGACACTGTCGAGGCTGTTTTGCAAAATGAGCATTTCTACCCCCCGTGCGCCGTTTCCCTTGATTTTATAGGGCAAGATGACATCATTGGAGCCCTCCAAAAAGCTTTGGAGCCAGAACAAAACTTGTTGTCCATGGTAAAACAAAAGCGATTTGTTCTCCATGGAATCGGCGGCTCTGGAAAGACACAGATATCCGCGAAATATGCCCAGGATAACAGGAAACAGTAAGACGGAGACCCCAATGCATTGAAGTCTTCTAACCTGGGTAACAGCTATTGGGCCGTATTCACTATCGATGCGTCATCCCACCGAACTGCAAAAGAGTCATTCTGCAAGATCGGAAAAATTGGGGGACTCGAAGCCACTGAGGACTCTGGCAAACACCTCCTCTCTCAAGCTACAAAACCTTGGCTTCTCATCATCGACAACGCAGACAGCCCTGACTTGAGCTTCGAAAGGCTTATAGTACCCGGGGAAAGAGGTCATATCCTGGTCACCACGAGAAACCCCAGCCTCCGAAGGCAAGGAAATGTTGGAAATGTGGAACTTAAGCGGCTCAAAGAACAAGAAGCTTTCCGGTTACTTATGAAAGTTGCGGATATTACTCCCCCATGGGATCCACCTACTGAGATGGCAGGTAATGAGATTACGAAAACCTTGGGCTATCTAGCCCTCGCAGTCATTCAAGCCGGAAACACCATTTACAACAAATTGTGCCATTTAACAGAGTATCTCAAGTTTTTCCAACGCCTCCTGGAGAATCGCCGCGGAAAGAAAGACCGATGTTCCACAGACGATACTGATACGCGTCATGCCGAATTCGATGACATATTCACGGCTTTTGACTTTTCTTTTCAAAAGATCGCAATTCAAAAGACAGTTCCAAGCTATGATGCGATTGAAATTCTCAATGTTGTTGGCTTTTATCACTTCGATTCAATTCCAGTCGACATCTTCGAAAGGGGTATGAATCTAGAGCGAGAGCAACTGCGCCAGTTGTCGGTCGTATCGCTCCGAGCACAATTCGTCAATGCTTTCGTCGGTCGCTTGCGACAACCCCGCGCTCTTCCTAGGCTCCTGAAGCAAAGCATCGATGGCATGCATCCGCTGTGCATCAGGGAAGCTCTCCGCAAGTTATATGCCTCTTCCTTGATAACGTACGGAAAGGATGAAAAAAGCTTCTCTTTGCATCCTCTAGTTCATGCGTGGGCAAAAGATCGTATCCCCTCCAAAGAGAGGAGTCTGTGGGCAGTGATTGCTTTTAACACGCTTATGGCATCTATTGAGATCTCGTCACAGGGGACCGGAGAGGCTGACTCTATCTTCCGAAGGAGTTTGATTCCTCATCTCAATTCGTGTCTGGAAGCCTGTCCGACCGAATTTAGAGAGTTTCGCAGTCTCAAGATTGGGGCTGGCAAATTTCGCCGTTTTATGTTGCTTCTACAGCCGACTTTGGTGTTTACCCTTCGAGACATGATTCAAAATGCCGCGAAGTGTGGAATTCTCTACGCCCAGACAGGAGACTTCTCGAAGTCTGCCTACCATCTCTCTCTCGCAAAGGAATCGCTAGTCAAACTTGTTGGACTTGACGACGCTAGAACAATGGCCGCCAGCCTCGGCCTCGCGGGTGTTCTCTGGGGGCTGGGGCGCTTGAGGGAAGCCATTGACTTACAGCAGCAAGTTGTTCAAGCGCGACAAAAGGTTCTGGGATTGGACCACCGCGAAACTTTGCAAGCTATGGATTCTCTTGGTAAATCCTTCTGGCTCAATGGACAATACTGTGAGGCTCTTGAACTTCAGCAACAGACCGCGGAGAAAATGCGTGTGCATCTTGGTGAAGAAGACGACGACACATTGAATGCACTAGACCACTTGGGTGTCACGCTAGGGTCTTGGCGTAGGTTCGCAGAGAGCGCAGATATCCACCAGAATGTGTTGACGCTTCGGATGAAGGCCCTGCAATCGGACGACTTGAGGGTCCTTGAAACGAAAAGCAATCTGGCAATGGCTCTCCTCGATCTCAAACAGCTTCATGACGCAAGACAGTTAATGGAGGATGTCTATAATAATCGGAAGCTGCAGATGGGCAAGGAACACCCTTACACACTTTTGGCTCTATGTTATCTTTCGAAGATATATATTGAACAGGGTGAATTGCATAGGGCTGAGGAAACTTTGGTTGAAGGAATTGCCGCAGGAAGACGAAGCCTCGGTGAGGATCATCTTGGTGTGTTGGTGGGCTGTGGAGAACTCGCTCGGGCTTATGCACGTCAAGGCCGTCTAGATGAAGCAGAGAGACTGAGCCTTGAGACAGTCAGCAAGGTCAAGATTTCTCGAGGCGATGAGCACCCCGACTTTGCTTATGGAATGTGGAAATTAGGGGAGCTGTGGGAGAAGAAAGAAGAGCAAGCGAAGGCAATCAATGCCTATCGAACTGCGACAACCGCTATTGAGAGAAGGCTAACAGCAAAGCATCCGCTCTATAAGATCATCTCTGATCGCATTATGTGTCTGACAGAAAATTCAGACAGCAATGAGCCCGAAGATGACCACGTTGCAAATAGCTCTGCAGAAGCTGGCAATGACGGGCTGGAGATGAACCGTTTGCAACCTACGCAAACATGGTAAATTTACCATGCCCAACTCGTATCTTAATGTTTGGGGTCGGGTTACTTCTCTGCAGCCAGAATCCTGAATCTTAAGGTGGCATCATCTGCATCTCCAAAACACGGTAGTCCCTCGCAAACTTGTGCTCTCTCAAGCAGAAAGCTTATATCATACTACAAGTAAATGGCAACAAATTTTTACTTCTTTTTCCCTTTAAGCATAGAACGCCGAGGTCTCGAATCAGTCGGAGTAGAAAGGCGATATCGATTACACAGAAAGTATTCGAAGGAGAAAGATTCTCGTGAGCAGGGCGGCTTGATGCAGTATTTTTTTTCATCACGACTCTGCCACTATACGGTCCAAATATAGTGGAAGCCAGAGATCCCTAATATTGTTGCTTCTTTCGAAGTGGTCTGGGAACTATTCAAAGTTCGAACGTGGCCTTGTTCTAACGGGTTGTGTTTGGTTGAACTCAGCAGGAAAGCTTATACATTCATAATATTCTCACTTCATCTTCCTCCTTTTGAACGGGCGCAGACCGCGGCGATGCATTTTCATATATCGGGTTCATCTAAAAGTCAACACTGATGAACGTGAAACCCCGCTCTTCGAACCTTGGATCGGAAACTCGTTAGAATTGACTAAAGACGACTAACAGATAACTAACCTCGTTTGGTACCGAAGCCAATCCCCTTTATCTACGCCATGCATATGAACCAGAAATGGAAATAAAGGTTTCTGGAGACAAGAAAACGCCAAGATCACGATGTTCTGGCTTCCATCCGATACATTCTATGTTGGGTGAGCAAAAACCATAATTAGCAAATAGGGCCGGGGTGATTCACCTGAAATGACTGCTCCATGATCTTCAAAAGACCACATGTACTTAATATATTCGTTGAAGAAGGCCTGACAGCACCGCCAGAAACTCATGGCTAAGAATGGTTGTGAATTTAGAGAACCTTGATCCACAGATTGATTAGGAGTCTGCTGTGGTTATTATACTTTTGTTAACCATTATGCCAATGCTCTTGCCAAGGTATGGACTAAAGTTGATCTACTTTGACGTCAATGATTCCCCTTTTCCTCCAGACTTCAGAGTTGTCCTAATACAAGCTTGGTCGAATGCTTGCTGACATAATAATAAACAAATTCCTCATCAACTAACTTAGTTAACTAACTAGTTAGTTATGGGTCAGTTAGCTAGCTATCACGTGAGTAGTCACAGAGCGGGGTCAGGAAACACAAGCAACATCGTACTCAAAAATCGGCACACCTGATCGCCCTCAAGCGTTGTTCCTGGTATGTCATATTTACCAGTTTGAGTTGTTTCCGGTATCAAAACGTATACTGAGGTGAGTATTCTGGATGAAGCACCGCAGTCAGGTCATTTCTGCGGGCTTACTGGTCTGACTTGGCTTTCAACAGAGTCTAGAAGTCGTCGTGGTGCGAAAAACTATCTGTCTGTATTATGTACGTGGCTCCCTTCCCTCCATGCGAAGTAACTGCGCAGAATGATCTCGCAAAGCAGGCTCATATGCGATTAACTTTTTTATTAGCTTCCACGCGTCCCAATGAGTGCACCCAAGAGCGAAGGGATTCTCCGACTTGACCTTGACCCGGCTGAACGTACTGTTGTGGAGGAACTAAATAGATGGTTGGTGGAGAATCCAAACGCGGAGTGGAAACAGTCTCCTCGGTTCTGCCTCGTTGAGCAGTGTTCGGATGGGAGACTACAGGAAATCCTAGTGCCGCTTACGCAGGTTTGTCACTGCCACGATAACAAGGGCGAATCTCGCTCATGATTGCAGGACTCTCGAGTCGCTATTTTCAGAGCATTGCAGTCAAGGTGGGTCCTTGATGAGGGGGATCTCATCCCCTTCTTTCCAAATGAGGGTTGCACTGTGAGAAATGGAGAGACTCGTCTGCCGTTGGTGTACGGAACAAAAATCTGTATTTCCAAGAACGTCAGTGTGGAAGTGTCTGAAGGCAATACATTGTATTTATTATGGAGAGTCAGGGTAGCGTCTCATTAGCTGATCTGCAATTGGAACTCTGCCAAAGATGATTTGAGCCAAACTCGTCACTCTCAAGAGAATCTATGGAAGGCTGCACATCGACGCAGTCAAACTCCGCCATATCCAGCTGTTGGCCAAAGAAATTTAGGTATGCCATATCAAGCTGCGGCCCAAAGAAGTCGAGATAGGTCATATCAAGCTGCGGCCCAAATGATTCATGGGACGTCGCCACAGATGGACATTCTTGGGGCGATTCGAGCGAGTTGGCAGAGCATGTAGCCGTTACCAGTTGTTCAAACTGGCTGCCATCTTCATTAGCGTTCGTTTCAATCTCTCCACGCTGTGCAAGCGTGGACATCTCGCCCAAATCTGTAATCGGGGTCTCTGACGCAAGCTGCACAGGAAAGTTGGTATCAATACCAACAAAACCGGGTTCACGATGTCTAGAATGTCGACCCTCTATAGTAAGATGTGACTCATTACCAGGCTCTGAAAGAGGAAAAGGTCTTTTTTGGCGAGACCTGTTGGTACTGGCAGGATTTCCTGAGCCATATCTATGGCCTTGCGTTCTTGGTTGCCCTGAGGCATTCTTCCGTTTTTCGTTTCCAGACGGACCGCGGCAAGTTCTAGGAGTCCAGACGTAGTTGGTATGAAACCGAAGCAAAGTATTTGCAACCCGATTTGCGTTCGACTTTACTGACTCCTCGATGATCTTCTTTTGTTGAAGGTGTTTGATGGACTGCTCAAAATCCTCGCCATGAAGACCTCCATCGTCCCAGCTGAATGTTTTTAGCAAAGACCAGGATGATGAAAGGGGTTATGAACCTACATGGTGTCTGGAATAGAGGCGAAGAACAGAGCGCCAAAGCCAGCTTCTTCCCCAACTTTCAGCTTCTGGCAAAATTGTGTGTGTCTTTGTCCTCGTCGAATAATATCTCCACATATTTTGTGCTCAGAAACGGGCAACTCCGCCATAAATAAAAACTGCTCTAGCTGCTTTTCTAAAACACGAGTGTGGGATGAGGTCGGAAAAGTTCGTCGAAAGAGGTTATAAGCAGAAACCGCGACAAATCTTCGAAGGATTCGCTGCTCTTCGATATTGGAATCCAGCTGAGCAGCACCTTGGAGGAAAACTGGGGCCCTGTTCTCCCGCAGTTGATCGCTGTATTGCGGAAGTGGGTTGACGAGTCTTTCCCAAAACTCCAGGGGGTCTGTTTCGTATGAGGAGAACCGGCTTCGGAGTCTTGAAGGCACCTCGAGGTGGTCTATTTGCTCGATTCTCGCACGATTTGCTTGAGAGGTAGTTGTGGTTGTACTGAATAAGCTGCGAAGGGGGATGTACAACTGTCGAAGGAACTCCGATGTCTCACCCTCCTCCAGGACTCCGAAAGGACGGTCTCCGGGGAGAGAACGCAATATTTGGACGACCTCACTATTAGTCAAACACTTCGATTCTCTTTGTCCTGACCGGGACGAAGATTTATGGTGTATCTTGCCTTGAACCATCGCGAATAAGTGTGTTGTTGATAAAAAAAGGAATCATTTTGGTATGGGAGACGGACAAGTAGGTAATCGATCAAATGCTGGGGAGGCTGACCGAAAGCAAATTCTCGGGCATCGCGCGACCCCTGAGAAACCACTTCCGGACTAGCGACGTCATAAGCCAATATGAATATAGATACATATAGGTACAATGGCCATGTTGCGTGGCGTTGCATACTGTCCTAGGGGGTTCAAGTATTCCAGACAGTGCTGGATGTCCACAGATTTTCTGTCGGGAGAAGATACAGAGCGATTCGTAATTGTACCATTTGCTGTCATAATGCCAATTTCATTTGCAGACAAATTTATTCCAGGTCTTAGATGAAATCAGCAACATAACATTGCACTGAGCCGTTGACAAGTTGGCTCTGCTGGCTATGGTGGTATCTCTCACAGCCACCGGCCGAAACAGGTCATGCACATGACAACCTTAGCGTCGCTGGCACCTACGTGACAGGCTCAAATGGATTCGAGGGCCTCAGCGAACGAATGGTACGGTTTGGAACACATGTATGAAACTTGACTTATTCTGTCTACGTTCTATACGTAGAATTTGACTATGGTAGCCACTTATGACATCTCTATCTCTATACCTGCATGTCGGAAATGGCGTTTCGCGCTCTCCTGTTTTGCACCAACATTATGAACACACCGCCGAAGGAAGGCATGAAATCCTTGTACTAGATTCTGTTCGTATGATGACCAAGTCCTCTTGATATAAGCCTTCAGCTCGGCGAAAAACTTGCTGCAAAAGCAGCTGCAAGGGTCTTCCTCCTGCATACATACAGGACAACTTCTGTCAACATTGATGCTAGGATGCTCATAATTGGCAAATACTGCTCACCAGGGTGGGCGACAGAGTAACCAGGAACATTTTGCCAGCTTGGCCCTCATGGTGGCTGCCTAGCGACATATTCCTGGGCAATTTACGTGCTTAGCTAAGACGTCCGGAATCAGGACAGCTTACTCATATGATGAATAAATTTTGATATCATGTGCTCTTACATGCAGACCTCAAGGATGTAATTTCCACGGCAAAAAGTGCCCAGTACTTAGTCATAAGTTAGGTTGGTAACTCTGCCCACCTGATGCACGAAGCCTGGAGCTTAACCTGGAAAAGCTCTTTCTAGCGGCTGTCCATTGCGAGACTTATGGAACCTAAAAGGAAACTCGACTTCGTCCAGAACAACTCTCCCGTTATGGTCTCACGCCTTTCAGTAAGCAGCATGGCGGGACGCTGTACTTTTTTCCCCCGTAAAACCATGAGCGCTCTTCAATCCATCCCATCGTAGTATCGGTCTCCGAGTTCCCGATTGTATGTGAGTCTTGTGGCGTCGCCAAACTAATTCAACACTGACTAGGCCAACATGCTGTTTACAAAAACCTTAGAGAAGAGAAGGAATGGGACAAGCGGAACAACGATAGAAGAAGCGGGCAAGGCGGTGGCAGAACGGGAGCGATGCGGTGACAGTGGCTATGTGGCAGGGCCACATAGTAAGAAGCGGGTCTAACCCGTTACATGCGGGTTCTCTATTTCGACATTTGTTTCAACCTCATAGCATCCCGATGCCCATGATGCCATAGCCAACTGACTTGGCACCGATTCCGCACTTGCCCAATACTGGATCTCGATTTCTGCAATAATTTTGGGAACATGCTCCCATCCTCCTGCCGTCACAGACCTTATGGGACCAATTGGCAGCGGGATTGCCATCCTGATTGAAAATGCTCTTCTGAGTTTAGCCAAGCTCTAAATCAACAAAGACAATACACCTACAAATAAGAGAGAGCATTCACTGATGTGTTGGACGGTAACCGGCTACACAGCCTTTTGCGTCAGTGATGCAGTGCAAAAAAACTGAAGGTCCTGGAACACATACTCATATACGACAACAAGCTTCAAGCATCCCATCCGTGAATCCTTCTGTATTTGTCGGCCTACTAAGGGTTCTTGCAACTAAATAGGTGTTTGCCAGTCCAAAGGAACGAGTAACCCTCTACGGAAGGCACAACGGGTAGTAACTGCAGTGTGTCTTTTGTCCATATCAGTCTTTTTTCCCTTCTCGGCTCTGCTCGATGCTTACTGCGGCTCTCCTCGTGGAGAATATAGCTGCCATTCAACAAAGAAATCGTAAGTCAAGTCTGCTAAAGGCGCGGAGAAACTCGGTTTTATATGGACGATTTGCCTGATTGATGTTGCCTATGGAACTAGGCGAGTCGTTAGGAGAGTCGTTAGGAGAGCAAGGGAGTAAAGATAATATAGGAGTATAGTATACCTCTAAGACAGTATATAGTGACCGAGGCAACTTCTTACCGAACTCGTAAGCCTGTAAGGTCCTATTCAGAGTCTCTTTTGGGTGTGTTTGTCGATTGTGGAAAACGTTGAGGATCTTCGTTAGGTTATCCCGGTATAGAGGTGAATTATAAAGACGCGGTATATTACCTGTCTCTGCCTCTAAGGTATCCTTAGAATATTCTACTAACTTCCCGTAGAGTAGCTATTAGAGAAGTATGACTCTGTCTTCGATCCGTTAGTTTTGAAAGTAGAAGGGTAGCGGCTCTCTTACCGTACTTTAATATACGGTAAGACTTTATTAAGGTTATATTCTTCGGCTACTATATCGGGTTCTTACTATAGTAGTCCGGCTACGGTTTAAACAACCTAATCTATCTATCTGCTAAATCTCTAAGAATATCGTTAGTAAAGTCGTTGAGCCGGGCTCTGTAAAATTCATCTAGTATAGTATATACGAGTATTATACCTATAATTTCTTGCTAAGGCCTATTATCCCCGAAGGAGCCGTGGCTATTATAAGAGGGTTGATTATATTAAAGCGTATAACTATTTATCTCGATATATTAAGGAGTATTTCTAAAATTACGAACTAAAAAACGAGGAGCCTTTCGTTTAACTACTAGTACTTATATAGTCCTTAATATTTATAATAGCTATTTATTTATATTACTAGTATAGGCGCCTAACCGAGTGCTTTAATAAAATACCCGTTAATAGTACTTATTACCTCGCTAGAGTTAGTAAATCTCCGGTAATATCCGGCCTCCTACTAGACAAGATCTACTATTTAGGTATAACTTAACCACACTAGCTTATCCTTATAGGTTATTTTCAAATGCTACCGGCGGTATTACGTTTTTATATCTAAAATCTGGTTTATATTGATCTATCGGAGTAAGCTAATATAGTATAGACTAATATTCGGTAGAACGAATAGGTTCAGAGTTCGGTAGTAGTTACTATTAATAATATATGATCTAATATACGAAGGGGGTATATAAGGATATATAACGAGATGATCTAACTAAGAATAGTAAGCAGATAGGTAGACAGACTAATATAATATTTATAGGGCTTATATTCGGATAGGATTATATTACTTCTTTAGCTATAGATAGCACGACGGGGTAATCGCGGCTTATAGTATAGTCACGGTATACTCTAGCCCCTCGAGGCGTCGATTCTGCTTCTAAACGTACCGAATCAGTTACTTGAATTCGCTACGAAGACTAACTATATCATTTATCTCTAACAAGCGTTCACCGGTAGGATATTCGTGGTAACGATCGATAATCGTGACTAGTAAATGGTTAGCGGGAATACCTATACTAACAGGAGGATTACCTTACGTAGTAGAACTATAACTAACGTCGTTAGTATATTAATACCGACGGCGTATATACGCTTATAAGTTCCCCTTCCGCGTAAACCCGTTCCCGGAACTTCGACCGTAGTCTTTATAGGGGTATATGATCGGCGGTCTATTAATATCTTTTTTATAGACCTCACGCTAGTAGCGTAAGAGACCACCGGCGTAGGTGAAGCCCCTATCTTTGTTATAGCCCGGCTTATAATATTTAAAGGGACGGTTATATTTATCTATATATTTACTAAGGAAGATCGTAGTTAGTATCAGTATATAGTAGACGAGAATAATACGATATAGAGCAACGTACCCCTATTCACAAGGACGGCTAAAAGTCGGCGGTAATAGCTAATAGTCTTGATGGGTATAGTAAATCTAGTCGTTAGCGTTCCTAGGAACGATACGGGTACCTCGAATTTATACGCGCTAGCGGTTAGCGTCCATATCGTTAATATTTATTTACTTATTAATTAAGAGGTGTTATAAAAACTACCTAGTACAATACAGGAGGTAGAGTTAGCTAGATCAGCTTTATATAAACCTAGTAATAAGTATTAGGATGGTTAGGTTAAAGGCACGTCTAACTCAACTCACGATTATATGACGGGGTCCGGATATACCGGCGAGACTCAGCCGATCACACGGATGGTTGAATACTTAAGGAGTCATATAAGGACCAATTAAGAAAATTCTGAGAGATGGGTATAGATTAAATATATCTAGGCTTAGGAATCCTATATAACGTTTACCTAATATAAGTTTAACTAGCCTCCCAGTAGTTAATAGGCCTATTCAAAACCGTGGATTTAGATTTATTTAAATTTATTAGAGCTTCTCCGACTACTAGATTCGATTAAGGGATTTTAAGCCAAAAGATATAGTGATATAATAATACGAAGCATTTCCTCCTTCCTTACTTACTTAGATAAAAGTTCCTAAGGCACGAGTTCTTTAGCCCCATAAATCTTTATATATAAAGACACGAGGTCACGGATATACTAAGGCTCCCCATAAATCCATAACCCACCACGTATAATACCTCTGCTACCATTATAGTACACCACCAAGAACCATATATCAGGAGTATTAACTATATCGTGATTGTATACTATACTAAAACAATATTCGAAACTCCTTATCCTTTCCAATAATATAGTATCTAATATCTTTAGCTAATATATAGTTATTATATACTAAAGGCGTAGGAAGGGGGGAATAGATAGATTACATAAAGACTTACTATTATATCTAGAGATAAAGTACAAGAACATTACTATCTAGGCTTCGTTATGAAGACCGTCTTCGAGATATACCTTATAAGGGCCGTAGTTCTGTCGTTACTACTATAAGAAGACAGGACTAAATATACTAAGCTCTGCGACTAACTAACCAGAAGTATTTTTAACTTAATAAATACCTAAGTCTGTCTTAACTATAGGTTAGACTAGATTGTTTAGGTCGGAAGCAAGGTAACCAGTCCCCGATTTATATACTATAGCTTCGGACCGCGCACTCGGGGTTTTGGCATAAGGAATCGCTTGGTCTAAGTCCCTACTAGGCCCTTACTCTTCTTTTCCGCCCTAGAAAGAATTATCATCCTTATTAGAGAAAATCAAAGATTATATATAAGTAGGAAATAGTATCCGAAGAGAGATAGTAGGAAGGTAGTTTATAATAGTAGTATACAGAGGTAGTTAGTAAGTTATAAATAAGATAGAGAAGATTATAAAAGTATCAAAGCTATTTATTTAGATATATATTTAAACCTTTTATCGTTCTACTTAATTTGTTTTCTACTAGCTATTAGTTTCGTTAGAAAAGGTCTGTCCGGTTAGTATAGTTATAGTTAGTATCCGTACTCTATAAGAGAGCTATAGTACTAACCTCCTAAAGCCCTCTCCGATTCCTCGGCTTATCTTAACCCCTCTAGTAAAACTAGCCTTAGAGGTGCTAGTTTATTCGAGAATTAGGTCTCTATATTTCTAGACGTGGGATCCCCTAGAAAACCTTAGCTAGGATACTTTACTATTATTAGATAAGTATAAGGCTTTAAAATACGTAAGACCGTCTGAACTTTTTAATAAAAATATTAACGCCTTAGTAGAGGAGGTATTAGCCTACTAGAGCTATAATACTATTCTTAAGTTAGCTCTGATAACTTAGTATTTTGATTATTAGGATATTAAGAAACCGCCTACTTCAGCCTCGGATAAGTTAATATCTTTCTTAAGGCAGCCTAATAAAGATATAATTAAGATACTATAAGACCGATATAGAAGTATAATAGGATAGGGTGCTGCCTTAAATAATTCCTTCGATTCTTTACTAGTCTTAAACTAAGTCTAGAATAAGGAGCTAGGGTTTAGCTATATCTGGACGAGTCTTATATATATAGGTTATACTATACTAGACCTAATATAATATTACGTCACATCGAACTCTATCTAATCCATTCTATTCGAATTGTCAATCATCCCCTACGGGGAATTCTCAACGCTCTAGTATTAGTCATACTACTTTATCGTGAGGTATTCCGGAGAAGAGTAATAAGGCAATAGGGCTTAGAGAAGTCTTAGCTAACGACGGATCGAAACGGGTATAGATAGCCTAATCTAATTTAAGAGGCTTAGAAGCTACTAAATTTGTATCAACACGTGAGAGAGTAGATCTGGCTCCTTAAATAGCAGAAGCAGTTCTAGGTTTCTGATTTAACGTAGTTATATCTAATGGTCGAATCGGTAATTAAAAGTTAATATTCGGCGTTAATAGGGATAGGGCCTAGTAGGCCCTAGCCCTACAGACACCAAGATAAGGAGTAAAAAGCATGAAAATAGGAGCGCGATTGATTATATAAGGAAAAGTTGGCTTATAGTAATAAGATAATCGGTCCTATAGGTAGAAGAATATTATTTATAAGGAGGACGTTTAAATATACTGCTTATCTTATATAGGACAGATAGTGAAATAAGAACCCCCTACCTATTATAGTCTAACCGCGTAGATAGGTCGAGGCATCGAGTTACCTAGCAAAGAGTAATCACCGCCACGTCTAGATACTGTACTAATTAACTAAATAGGGAAGGAAAGAGATCAGGAAAGTAAAGCTCAGACGTGCTAAATAAGGAGACTGATTAGTAAAGGAGTACGCAATCACTAAATTTAGCAGATTCTTACTCTTAGCCCTCCTATATATTACTACTTATTTCCTACCGTAGCAGCCTAGGCCTAGTAGTTATTAGGATCGATAATAACTGGACGAAAGTACGTGTAGCGGGTTTTAGGGCTATAGAAATATTAATAGGGGTAGGGCCTAGTAAGCCCTCCCCTTATCTACCTAATTAACTATTATCGTATCCCAACCTTCCCCGCTTCTCTCTTGACTATCTTTTCCCTCAGACTATCTTCCTCTATCGTCTATCTAGATAATAGATCCGTACTCCTGCTACGTCTCTAACTTAGAAGGATATATCCGTAGCCTTTACCTAATATTAAAGGAATGGGTAGCTTATATACTATAGGATATTGTTCTAAAATCCTAGGTTTTATTAGGGATTAACCCCTAAGCCTTCTAGCTTAAATCTTTATAATCTCTAAATAGCTAATATAAAAAGCCTTTGCTTATAAGTCTACCCGAACCCGAGGAATCATAGAGGAAGCCGGTAATTTCCTTTGTTAAAAAGATACCTACCGCTAAGAATTAGTCTAAAGCTATATCTCCTATATCTCCTAATAGCGAATCGCGCTCTTCTCTCTTTATTCTGGACTTATTATTAAAAGAGTACTCTCCTATCGGGCGAGACCCTACCGTAATACTAGTTATCTAATATTAGTAGTTAAATATACTCTATACCTTAGAATACTTTGCTTTATTCACGAAAAGATATAGGGAGGACGCGAAGCTAGCGAGACTAATCGCTTCCTATTAGAGATTTCTGTTCGGTATTCTTTGTTATATTATATATTATATCGGTATCGATGAAAAGGTAGTAAATAAGATAATAGGATTAATTTTAAGCGGTAGTACCGAATACCTTCGGTAAATACGACTTATAGCTACTTAGGGGGTCGCGGCTATTAATATGCTTTAATATAAGAGTAAATAGGGTATTAGAAGTAGCGATATTCTCTTTTATTATCGGTCTGAGTTCTTTTTATTCGTCCGTATAAAGCTGATTATAGAATCTAGTTACTCCGTTATTTTCTTCCCTGAGAAATATAGCTAAAGGGAAGTAGTTAAAAGACGTCTTTATCTTTTCTCTAGATTAACCTCGATATACGGAGATAGGTGTTAGGCTACTGAAGCTTTATACTAATAATCTCTCTGTGCCTTATATAATTAAGTATATCTTTAGTAAAACCGTTCGGTATATATATGAAACGTGAAAGTGCCGCTATATTCTAAACTTAACTTTAGACTTTCCGATATATATAAATTTTTATACGCCGATTTTGCTGCCGCCCGATATATATTTACTAAGTAGTATATAAAACTATTTGGTTCTGATGTTTTCGATGATTTAGAACGCTTAAGTCTTTTTTCTCCTATGATACCTTAGTCTCTAAGAATCTAGTTAGAAGTTCCAGAGTATAGAATAAACCCTGTGGAGGATATACGGAAGAGACGACGTACTAATATTAGAATCGGCTCACCGGCCAATAAGGCAACGCCGTTAGATTCAGATAACCAGTCTATAACCAACACGCTAGGTACGACGATTTCTACAGATGCTCCTACGACTGCCGACGAGGGCCGTACGAGTCCTCAGCTAAATCCACAAAGTGAGCTTCGCACCCTATAGTTATTCAACGTGATACTGACTCTTTAATATGGAACAGGCGTTCCGTATGTTGGTACAACCATTAGAGATATTTCACAGCAGCAAACACAGGAGCATCAAGACCTCTCTGGGGATACAGATCTACCATTGATGGATGAGCGGCATATAGGATGGCATTTGCCTCCGGTGCATCATTCTAGTAAGTTACTGATTTACAGATCGGTGGATAACCAGCTGAAGTCCATTCAGATCATGTTTCTCCACTTTCGGCGCGCTTGCCGGATACCACGTTACCAAGCGACCTCTTCCCTTTTTACCAGCAGGGATCATGCTCAGATAATAGACGACAGTCTCCTCTCGGTGAACGAAATTCAATAGCCACCACTCCAGCACCACGGGAAAGGGGTGATCCGCTGTCTATCTCTGAATTGATCAATCAGGATTCGGAACCGCGACCTCTGGCTCAGTCCCTACCGACGACGGTTTCAAGAGATGGACATGTTCCTCCAGATGTTGAAAATCCAAATACGATATTGGAACCTTACGCTCAATTTAATCCTGGCCACGCCCCTCCTGCCTTCAATCAATTTGCCTATGGGACAATCCCGACAATCACTCAGAACTTAGAGGCAGATCTCTGCGCAAATTTTGGGCCGAGCCACATCCCTCCTGCCTTCAATCAATTTGACTACGCGACGATCCCAACAGTCAATCAGAATGAAAACTTAGATGTGGGCGTCTGTGCCAGCTTGAATCTGAGCGACATCCCGCCCACCTTCAATCAGTTTGACTATGGGACGATTCCGGCAATCAATCAGAATGAGAACATGGGGGTGGGTCTCTGCACCAATTTTGACACGGACAATCCCACCTATGGCAACATTCCATGGGATACCCAGACTGAAGGTCAAGACGTCAATCACCCCGATGCTGTGCTTTCGGTTTTTTGAACTAGGATACCAGATCCGAAGTGCCTTCATAAGTTTTTCCGTTGTTGTACACCAATCACATTCTGTCAACAGCCAAGCTTGCATTTAATTATTTCCCTCTCTCCCTTCGAGTGTTACTATTAAGATGTCCGAACCAGTGGACCGGTCGGGCGTGAGTACTCGATTGGTGTCTGTAATATCCCAGTATTTGTCCGGCAGTAGAGTTTCCGCAGGTGTCAGGCTTGAACTTCCTAGTATAGGCACAAGCCAAAGCCGTTTCGTGGGGTTCTCAAGCCTAACGGCTAATGCAAAGTGAAAAACCGTACAATCGAGTACCTGGATTGATTTGTAAGACAAAGATACAGACAGCTGTGGCAAGAGGATACAGACTTTATGACCTCGTGTTTCTAGGTCTTCTTTCATCGCAATACATTCCAGCAAAAGTCGGTATTGCCAGCCCACTGGACTCTCTTTGACTCGTTCCATGCTTCCGCTCTGGATCAGACCCCTCATCTTTGAGAGTATCTCTTTCGCACTTCCCCAAAGAGGCTCACCCGCCATTTCTTCTCAAAGTCCCAAGACCGGCCTGAAAGCACGGTCAGATCAGCTGGATAGCGTTGTTTTTTTTCGATGCTTACCGACTGTAGAGATAGGCGCTGAGGGAAGCGTGGGCTTTTGTTGTAGAGTCTGATGGAGGGGCAAGGCGGGGCTTTTGCGGCCCAAAGTCACATGACTTGCACCCAGATCGGAAGGATGACACAAAACTAGTTAACTAACTAGTTAGTTATGTCATGCGCATTGCTTGATTACTCATACGCCGATGCCAATCAGATTCGGGCAATTGCTCTGGCAAAGACCGTTTTGAATGATGTAAACGTTCAGAAATCTACTTTGCTGGCATGGTGCTTCGTTTGAGTCACGCTCCTCTACCTCGAGAGACGAAAATCTACATACTTCAAGGCGCACTGCATGGGCTGGCTGATGTGCATGAACGAGGAGTTCTTCACAATGGAAAGCTTAACCCTCCCAACGTTGTTCTCACCACAGTACTGACTTTAAACAAATATCAAAGCGAATAATATCCATATTGATTATGATGAGAGCATGCAGGGTCAAACGATCATAAAAAAGTTCAGATCTCGGAGCTTGAGGATGCAGTTCTTGTGCCACCTGTGAAATGGCTGAGAAGACCTCTCTGCGGTAATGCCATCTGGAGGAGCCCTGAAAGCTGGTGCAGATCTCGCCAGAACCAAGCCTCAGATGTATTTTCTTTTGCAATTGTGGTGCGCATGTCACTCACATGCACTTTTTGCGCCTTATTAAATACTAATACTGTCTTCAGATGATTTACGTTATGCTCAACGAGATGGTTTTTCGCGTCCGTGATAGCGAGATTCATGCGTTAGACTCCTGTCGCTACGTTCTCCGGAGGCATATATCCTATTTTGCGGACGAGCAAGGCTTTACTGGATTGCTGGAGCATATTGGGGAAGCTAATCCTTTTCATGGGCGCTTGATCACACTTGGCGGCGACTTCCCCTCAGAGAGCCCTAGAGAGCCTTTCGAATCTTGGAAGTATGTTGAGCCCGAATTCAGGGACCTCATGGTCGAGATGACGAACCTGGATCCAACCAGAAGTATCATCACCAGACAAGCACTTGACCACTGTTGGTTCAGCCAAGCTATTTAAACAATATGGAGGTTGAGATTTCCACTGCCGTTAATATTTATATTTATACTTCGCTTAATACGTTGAAACCAAAACGAAGAGTTCGTGCTGGGCCATCTATCCAAGAATTCAATCGCATCCGAGTGGTCTTTCCGCTTTTCAGTTTGCAAAGATCGCTCTGGATGACGATCCGAGTGTCTCTTCGCCTGAGGACATGCTCTGTTTCGAACTGAGCCGGTTAAACCAAGTCATGGGCGACTAATTCAACTGTCAAAATTCAAAAAACACCTCATAGCGTCTTTCCATGAATCGGTACTGCATTATTTTATCAATTGACTTGACGGTAAGGAATAAGGGAATTATATATAGGTCTCGTTAGACGGTCAAAATTTCAATAATCGATTGTCGGGGCTGCTGGCCTACCGTTTAATACTGGCGAGAGCCTCTTCAGAAACTATATCAGTACTAAACGGTCTCTAAGAGCGGGATATAACAGCATAGACATCGGTCGATTTTCCCTATCTTTAAGTATCCTGTCGTGAAAAAGTGCGTGGAAACTCGCTATTTATCAGTAAATAGACTACTACCGTATTAAGGGCAGGGTAGGGCTTAACGCGTGAACTATTATTTAGAATAAACGTAATCAGAGTATCTAACGGGAAATAGGGCTAGTTTCTGTAGGCTAATTAGTCCTAATTACGATAGATTATAATAAAGAAGCGATATATATTTTTTTGCCTACTTCCTTACTATACTATAAGAGAAAGCTTAGACTAAAGTAGTAAGTATACTACTACTAATACTTGCCGATTTTCTTTTCGCTATTAAATATCTTATAAAGCTTTCTCTTTTCTACTATCCCTAGGCTTTTTGAGTTATATAAGTTACTAATAGTATTCCTTCTTAAAGATATCTCTACCGTTCTACTTTCTCGTTTATATTTAACCTCCCTTTTAAAAAAGAGAAAGAGAGATACTCTTATGATTCGGAGTTTTACGTCGTAAATATTACCCTCGTTATATAACCCGATAAGATAGGTTATAAGGCTAGCACGATTTAGTCGTAGAAGGTGATTCGAGGACTTAGGAGTATTCTAGGAAGATATATTCTAGAAGCCTAAAGATTTCTAAGTTCCGGAATATTTCTCTAAAAATATATCGAAATCGTGTAAAAGTAGTTAGCTATCTACCCGCTCGACTTCGGCGACTTTATAAGGAGTAAGATTTAAAAAGGCTAAGCTAATCGGATTAGGTACGTATAATCTATTACTAGATATAGCTTTACTAGAATTCGCTAAAGATAGGAACGGACTTATATATCTTAAACTATACTCCGATAGCTCCGATAGCTAACTCTAACTTTCTAAATTCCTAGCGTCTTCTTCTCTAGGCGATACTTCGGAAAATTCTGGTTTAACTTAAATATTACTAGTAATAGGCTCTAATAAGCGACTTATAATAATCGGTATCGGATAATCGCCTTTTTTAAGAGAGGTAGCACTTTGCTTTCGCTTACGTAGATTATTACGATAACTATTAAAGACTTCCTCGTCCGACGATATTAATAAATTATTAGTTAGATCGATTAAACCGGACGAGATAGAGAGTCGGCGGTATCTAGGATTCGAAATATATTCCTCGAGGAGGCGGTTAGTATTGTAGGATAGCCGCGCTAGTAGAATCTTTAAATTCGCGTCTAGCGGATTTGTCTTTTCTAAGATTTAGGATATTATATCTCGGACGGAGTCTATTTCTATATTATTAAGGCTATCGTTATCGGTAAATAAGCTTTCCGGGTTATAAAAACCGGTAGTAGTAGCTAATTTCCCGGGAGACTCGCTATAAATATCTAAAGGACTTAGTAGCGAATCCTTCCTGAGGAGGTTCTCTGTATTCTTCTGTACCTATTTACTTACCGGTATCGGCGTAGTTAGTAGATTCGAAGTAGGGGTAGGATAAGGAAGAAACTAGTCTTTTTTTGGAGTACGTATAGAGCCGTTAGATAGCGGATAAGTTTTATAAGTAATATTATTAGGGGACCGGGTACGGCCTATTCTAGAACCCGATATTTCGACGTCGTCTACCTTATTTAACGTAGCGCTAGTATTACTATTTAGAGGCTGAAGTAGTCCTAAAAATTCTTTATTCGAAATTTTTACCGTAATAGGGGTAGGGGTGCGGGCCGTCTATAAGTTAGTTATAGATTTAGTATCGATATCTATGCTCTCCGTCGTTTAGTCGGCGGCTCCTTCCGTTAGGGGGCGTATAAAAGATTTAGGATCAAGACGGCTATTAGAGAGAAGAGGGTCAGACGACTAGGTATCTGTAAAAAGCGTTAGCTATATATTACTCGGAAATAGGGGAGGGACGCAGAATAAAAATAGATAAAATAATCAAAATTATTCTCGACCTACTACACAGATCCTTATCCTAGTCTACCCTATTCTCGCTTAGAGTAGAAGCAGATATTTGATTAGCCGATATATCCGTACGAATAACTCTTATAATAATCGATGCTTTACCGAGGATTTACTACCGCTCTAAGTTATCTAGAACCGATACAGAAGCTAAGTCGGCGAATAAATATTCGGTAAACTAGGTATAGGGTTAGCTTTATAAATTGAATATAGTAGGGGTGATTTATATTAGGATCCTTCGATCGTGATTGAAAATGCTGAATTTGATTATATAGTATCTATATATATGTGAGATAAATAGACCTTTTTTCGGATATTTATACTTACCTTAATTAGGGTAGTTAACTAGGTTGAGGAGAACGATATTTTTTACAATAGCGAGACCGAAAGAATAGGAAAGGAGATCTAGGTACCTGGAAAGAACACTTAAAATAGGGAATCAGATCATTTTATAAGTTAATAAGGTAAGTTAATAAGGCCCGGTATATACTGGATTTAAGCCTTCCCCTTGGTTCTACCGTAGCGGAACAAGAAGGAAGAGACGCTACGGTGGCCTACTATGGAATCCTTAATATTCCTACGTCCGTTAAGACTGCTAGGCGTTATCCACGTTCGAATCAAACGTCCTATACACGAGTTTCCTTAGTAACAAAACAAGGACACGCCGAGGAGAGGATATGCTGGCGAAGCCTGCCGACCACCACTTTATTCGCAGCTATAGTATCGATTTAATGTCATATGGGCTTTGGATTGGAGGATAGGCTGAAAAGCCCTTGAAACTTCGGATAGTTGAAGTATCAAGATCATCAATTAAAACAATCAGTGTAAAATAAGAAAATATGAGCTTCAAAGTCATCAACCGCCTCTTACTGTAGTAGCAACCTGCCCTTCCGGCTCTTCGATGGGCTTTTCCACAGAGTATATGTGATGAATAGC